GTGTGGTGTACCCTTCAGGCAATGCATTTGAGCTTCTACTTTTTCTAACAATGCAGTTTAGCTTGTTGCTTTTTAAGAAATGCCTTTTATCTGTAGCACACACACATGCATTTTTGGCATTATACAGCACACTTTGCATGAAGCACTTTGAAGGTGTGGGGCAATTTGCCGCTGACATAGACACACAATAACAACAGACAGCTCTTATTCACATTTCTTGTCTCTCTACAATGTCATATTTTCAAATAAAAGCCAAGTATTTTTGTTTTGTTTTTTCCCTGTATTCTTACAGTGGATAGTAGAGATTTGACTGTAAATGATGGGAGAGAGACGAGGGATGACCTCAGCTACACAGTCAGCATCTTCAACCCTAACTGTATGCCACCAGGACCCCCTTTGGTGGCTTCTTCTGCAGAGTCACATCTACAGTATGTGGTTGGACATGGTAATTTCTGAGTATTCCTCACAGCACAGCATGGACATTGGGACATCTGTTGCTGTGTCTTCCTGCTAGAGAAAGCAGTGATAAAAAAAAACAAAAAAAAAACACAGCACTAACCACCCACAGAAAGTGACTCAAACAGCTCTTCACATTCTCACCACCCTTTTCTTTTTTCTTCATTGACTGCCACTCTCTCCCCATTTGTCATTCATGGCAGGGCAAAGCCAGAGTTCTAGTTGATAGGCTTAAGGACCAACACCATTAAATATCCCCGCCTGATTAGTGCAAGGTAGACTGTCACATGGCATGACCAGACTCATGTGGGTAAATCACCACAGAAAACCTCTCATCATTGGGGGGGGGGCTCATCTGGTAGAGCACGTACCACATAGGCTTAGTCCTAACCGCAGTGGCCATGGGTTCAAATCTGACCTGTGGCCCTTTGCTGCATGTCACCCCCCCCCCTTTCCCCAACCTTCCTGTCTCTTTCGCAAAAATGGCTGAAAAAAAGAAAACCTCTCATCATTTTAAGATTCCCTTCTGATGAAGGGCATTAGCCAAATACTTGACACAACACAAACTGGATCAAAACCAGAAGCAAATAAGAATAGTGTCTGTTGTTATTGATCTCATGACCTATTTCCAATAGTCACTCGGCATTAATGACCTTCAAATGGCTGATATGTTACTATCGCTACTATTGACACCCCTTACAGTCTGACATTTTGCGGTCATTCAATATCAGATCAATTTTTGTCCAATGCGAGTCTGACAGAAAATCCTAATATTGGATATTAGGATATTTTGTATAACCTAATCTGAAAGATGGAGTCGACTGAAAGTGCAGACAGATTACAGAAAGGCTGAAGCAATAGACCAAATGAAGACTTTGCAGAGCTTTGACAAAAAAAGAGAAAGTGGGAGACCAAGTGCAATTTCCCAAACATCACCTCACATTTCACTTCTAGCAGTCTGGTAATCATTTCCTCTTGTGCTTAGATTGCCCTCTCTTGAGATTATTTTTTCCAGTATTGAGCGACACATTCCAGTAAGCCTTTTAACTATTAACTAAAGTGCACTTCTGTGTTATTCTCATCTCGAGCAAGGCTCAACTCTACATAATACCACACGATTAAAGATGATGAGCTCTTCTATCTTTGTCTGCACTGGGAATAGACAGATGGATGAGGTGAAGTGGCACTGTAAAATCTCCACATTAGACATTATCTCATCAAGATCAAATATCACAACTTTAGCCCAACCCATACTGGATTTTTGAGGCTACCTCCAATATCAGTATTTGAGTTTGTTTTTTTTAATCTGATAATAATATAAATCAATCTATAAATCATACACATACATTTTTGATAAAGATCCTTTAAATAAGCCTTTGTTAAAAGTTGTGACTCAGGTATGGGCTGATCAGGACATCTTGCAGCTGAAAAATAAACTTTTACATTCCTATGAATTTTTCTTTTACAATCTCTCACAAAAACCTCAACATTACCTACTGCCCTAAATGTTAATTGAGTGAGGTCTCTGCAGAGAAGCCTGTTGACAGTCATAATGCTAGTGCTAGTAGTGAACACATGACAAAGGTTACAGCTTTGGCAGGTCAAACCAGCAACACTGGAGTTGAAGCATGCTGAAGATGTCTTGGCCTGCACTGCATAATATTTGACATTTAAATGTCTACCAGCCTCACCACTCTCCTTTAAATCATCTACAATTCCACACTGCATTGTGTCTTAACGTTACATTCTGCACGTAACACGTCGTGCACCGCATGATATAACGACCATGAACTGAGTATTATGATTCCTTTGAGTAATGGAGGTTGTTTTGTAGCACCATTAATCGCAATGGTTATTCCTCTGATTACTGCTCTGCCACACGTTATAAACGTTATCTATTTTTGATTGGTCCAATTTGCCAATCCACTTCGAAGCAGGTGATAGCAGGAAGGCAACCCAAATAAACGTGAGGGAATCAAAGAGATATCCTTGTCCTTGCTTGTCACAGCCACCCCAGACATCGGCTAGGTTCATGGTTGCCATGCAAACAAGTGACAGCCAAGCTGCAGCCGCATGGGGCACGGTGTGCTCCGCTAACGTGTCGATGAGGGTTTACTTTATGTGGCTAGCTAGTAACGTTAGCCACTACCCAGCCAGACTGCAAACCAAACAGACACAGATAACGTTACTATCTCCACTGGCCAAATTCCTACGAACATTGCGTCGTTAAGATGACACAAAACTACCGTCTGGATCCTGTGTAAAAAAGAAAAATAACATCCTGCTGTTTCTGTCAGTCAGTGCTATCTGAGCACCGCTAGTTAGCGTAAGTTAGCACATAAAACATACGTTAGTTGGAGAAATACAAGTAACGTTCGCTGAAAATAGCAAGTTATCTTTCTCGCCGTGTTGGCGTGGTATAGTAAGACAGCAGTTAAGTGAAAACTCACTCTGTGTCGACCAGGGCAGCGCTCATACAGTTGTTTCCGAGCTTCCTTCCCAGTCCAGCGTCATAGCACGGGGGCTGTGGGGAGCAGCAAGCGGGTTGTGGCGGATGGTCGCAGTCGGCTGGGGTAGAAGTTGCTCCGTTTCAACATGGAGAGCGTGGAGCGGACTGGATCCTCCTGCTGCTGCTGCGGTGGGCTCATCAGGCTGCTGCCTACCGCACCGGGAGCTCTGGCGACACCTGTGGCCGCAGCAGCGCACAACATCTTCTGCATGGCGTAACACTGTACAGCAGATACCAACCATGAAGATCAGGTAGCTATGACCTACAGGAGCAAAAATTGTGTTTGGCAGGATAATCATGCAAAATTTTAACCCTTACATTGTACGTCACAGCGCTACATTTACTATAAACGCCTTTCTCTCAATTATCTTAAAAGTAGGACTACACAACGTGAAAATACTCCATTACAAGTTAAAGTCATACATTATTCATTTTTTTATTAAGGTATTATCAGCAAAATGGTAAATAGGCAAAGTATCAAAAAGTAGACTAAAAAGTACTCATTGGGCAGCTCAATGGCTCATGTCAGTATTATATACCATTTTATTGGATTATTATTACTCATGCATTAACAAATATTTATTGCTGTGGCTGATTGAGGTGAATGTGTTTTATATACTTTTTACCACTTCTGTTTCATTGTTTGGGTTCTACTTCAGCATACTCCCTCTGTGTTAGCAATCTAATATTTGACCTTTTTTTTGCTTTCATCTGCTGGGCCATTGTGACTTTATTTTGTCTTTCTTCAAATTGAATGTCCAAAGTCATTGCTTTAATGAGCTAAACATAAACAGCCATGTGAGAGCTGTAAAATGACACAGACATGCTAATATCAGACCGCAGGCCAGACATCAACAGCCACATGTACAGTACACTTATAATGACAAGTTTGGAAGTCAGGTCTTAACTTAATTTCAAGGCAAGGTCTCCACGTAGCTGTGTGGCTGCATGTTTTCCACTTAAAAGAGCACACTTCCTTATTTATGACTATTTTTTTTTTTTTTTTTTTTTTTTTTTATGTTTTCAGAGAATGCCAAAAAAAACTATTACCACCTCAGTCAGATGTGTAATCCATTATGGTGGATTTACTGGCACATAAGCATTTGAGCTCATCATTAAATTTGGATCACCCAGTTATCTTTTGTCCTATTTTAATTTTCTATTTGCAGGTTGGACTGCTGTCATAATGGCTCCAGCTCCCTGCGTGCTGTTTTATTGCAAATCACAGCACAGGAAACTAGAAAAAGACATTCAAATGCCAAATCTATTTTTAGATCCAACTTGTGGATCTGAGAGACATGAAACAAGGATGATGAGGAGGAGTGGAGGGAGACGTAAAGAAACGGGGGAAAAGGAGGGAGGGTACTGTAAAAGATGTGAGAAATACCAGGCTTAATGAAGCCAACATGCTGACGAATTATTATATTACCACCATGCCAGGAGTTCCCTGTAGCTACTGTGTGAAAATGATTACCCTTAAAACACCACCATATTGTACAAAATCCCTCAAGTGTAGAACTGATGTGAGCTTTAAAATTAGAACTTTTTGAAGTCTGTCAGAAGCGCTGTGTAGGGTTTTTCCTCATGAAGTAGGAAACAGAAACGCTATTATTTATTCATCCTTTGAGGGTGCACTTTGCTACCTGCAAGCTCAAAGTTGCTCTGAATAATGCAGAGGTGTGCCAGCTCAATCCTCCTGTGCACCATGCAGCACATTCAATAGCTTTGCTCCTCTTAGTACTTTCCATTTGACTGAAACAATTCAAAAACTATTTGCATAATGAATTTAACAACTGTGCTATTTCTAGTTAGGCTGTCACACAAGTTATGTTTTCAATGATATTAGCTTGTAAAATGTTACATAACACAACAACTAGCATATTCTGAGTCACATCAGCCTGGAGATAGTATAACATTATGGTGAGAGTAAAAATCTGTAATTATATTGAAGATGCTTGATTCTAGTAAAGAGGAGACTGATGCCACACTCACTCATACACAGATTCAAACCACACACTACAGCCATACACATATGTGGGGTAAAAATGTAGTTACATCTTTAATACCATTTTGTTTGACAGATTAAAAGGTATTCAAATATTAAAATCTTGCTCCTTTTATATTTTTGCATTGTACCAGCAAGCATATCATAAAGCATTTCAAAAACATCCTGAAACTTTGCATCTATTTGCTATTCTTGTTTCTCAAACACAAGTGCCTTCAATCGTTTTAAGTACATTACGATACATTAAAAATAAAACATGGGCTTAAAAATATCTACAGCCTAACTGCACATATTAATTATCTTTACAAAAAAGCCGTACCTGCCTCATGGAAAATTCTGCCCTTTAGAAGCTGAAAATGAGGCTTGTGCTGCTCTGGTGATTTTAACATCTCAGGAAATGTCCATTAGACAGACCAGATATGTAGCAGGAAGTGATATAACATTGTTGTTTCTATGAGGAATGTACAATGTACAAAATAAAGACATTAACACAACAATGGATGTGACATTGACGCAGTATGGTTTTTCTATCACCATACCTCCAAGTAAAATGTTCAGTTGTCATTCTTGGATTTCCTGAGCTTTTGTTTAATGTGACACATCTCTTTAATCTTAAAAACTAATCAAAGTAAGACTGGGACAATCAGAGGCACGGTGACAAGAAAAAGGTTACAAACAGTATCACAAAGAACTGGCCAAAATATAATGAAGAAAGATACTGATAAAAATAAACATCTCATAGTTTTAAAAAGTGGACAGTGTAAAAAGACAAATGCATCCAGTGCATTATTCACTACAGTGCATTCAAATACAAAAGACTCTACAACAAACAACAAAACTCCTTCATTAAAAGGCGTTGCACAGTTCAAATTGCCTTAAGAGGTGCAAAAACTATTGGCTGTACAATCCAACAAACTTCAATAAAATATGATATATTTAAAAACTTAATTCTAAGGTTGCTATAACAAGGTAAAATCACAACAGTCCCTCTTTATCTTTTATAGTTTTGGCTTAAGCAGTAAAGCAAAAACAGAAGAGTGCCACCTATTGGTATTATAGCACACAGGTTTTTAAAAGGCACAGTATTTATACCAGCAGTTTTTTTATGCAGCCATACTAAAGGTTCATTTAATAACAAGATTTTCTTTTGTCTAAAATGTCTGTATTAATACCTATACAGCAACAACATATTACCTGAGCTAAAGATGTAATCATCAGTAAGTCATACAGTATACAGTAGTAAGCAAGCAGAAATAAAACAACAACAACAACAACAACTGAGCAATACAAAAGTATTCAATTAAAAGAAAGAATCCAAGACAGAAGTTTTCATATAATCAAAAATATTTTTGGTCAGTGATTATGTCCACTATCATATCTCCATATACAGTTTTCTCCATTGTCAAACATTCAACATTTTTAACGAATAAATACCAGAAAAAGAGGTTTGAATCCAGAAAAAGCTACAGGGTCCCTCACAAGAGCATGACATGTATAAACAATAAATACAACACAATCTGTTTAAAGCATTCCCTTTACAAATGTCTGCTGAGTTTCTTGCTAAGAGTAAGGAGAGAAGCAGAAGACCTGAGCGGTCTCTCTGGCCTATGCATTGTGGTACCCGTTTTTGCGGAAACCTTTTTTGGGTTCTACGTTCTCGTAAATAGAGAGCGCAGCTGTGTTTTGGTAGATTAGATCCACATTGGTTCCAGTTCTTGACCTGATGATGTCCATGGCGCACTGGTTTAAGAACACATACTGATCCTGCAGGGACACCAAATACAAAAGTTTGCTGAGCTGCAGCATACTGATAATTTCATGTACAGTAAGACAAAAACCACAGTGAATGTGACTGTATCCTACCTCTGTTTGCACCATTAGGGGCCGGTGCATGCGCAGATCATGGACAATGCCATACACATCCACAATATTTTCTCTTTCAATCTGGAAGATCAGACGATCAATGGCTATGAAGGTACCTGTGCGCCCAACACCAGCACTGAATGTAGACGAGGTAGACACATGGACAAGAGAGAAAAAGAATGTCGGGTGAATTTTTTGTGTCATTTCTGAAAGTTACATAGGATTGAAGGCAGAAGTGTGTGTGTGTGTGTGTTGAGTCAAACCTGCAGTGGACTACAGTAGGAGAGTGTCTGGAGTATTGGTCCATGTGTTCTCTGACTAAATGTCTGAAACTGATGAGGAGTTCAGTGGTTTCTGGTACCCCGTGATCTGGCCAGGCTGTGAAGTGGAAGTGACGCACTGAGCGGGTCTCTGCTGTTTTCACCTGGAGAACAACAACACGCAAACTCAAAATAGATGTTAAATACACCATGATGAGTGATGGTGACTGTCACACTGTGGATTTCTTTCCTCTTGAGAGGGTTACATCTCACCACTTACATTTTTAATGTCAAAGTCCCGGATGGTCCAGTCTTCAAGTGGTATTTCAGAGGTTGTTGTCACAGTGATGTTTTCAAAGTGCTTCATGCCGGAACTCCAGTACTGCTCACATTTTACCTGGCAAGGGAAAACAGTCGTTGCGTCCATGTGCATTAACTTGCATGTTGCTACTAGTCGTGGTGCTTGTGTTTGTGTTTGCACTCACTCGTCCCTGCTCATTACAGCGTGTCAGCATGACGAGGGTCTGTACGTTCTTCTCCCATATCATCCTCCAGAACTCGTTGACTGTGGTGGGCAATGGACCCTGAGCTGCAATAAACTCCTTCCTGGAGTTGTAACCCTGCCAAATGAAACATCAGCCCAGCCACAGAACACAAACATCCACCCTGTTCAGTACTTTTCTCTGAGATTCTCAGGTGTCCCAAACATCAATGTGCATGAAGGCGGAATAGTTTAAGTAGCATGGCATTAAGCAGAAGAATGAGCAGTTATGTTGTTCAGTAGGATGTTTACTGATACTGAAGCAATGACTGAAGCAGAGAGCTGCCTCGACAAGTGTCAGTACGCACCGGCATGTAGTTAGCATTGATGTAGTCGTCATAGGGACTTCCATGGATAATAGAGAGTTTCACCCTAGAGGAATCATCTAGGAGGCGAGAGAAGAGGGTAAATGGAAAAATCTACCATGTGTAAAATGTCATGGCTGCACTGATGTTCAGTTTTCTGCAATGTGAAAGAATTTAAATTAATTGAATTATTGCAGTGATAACAGATGCACCATGATAGGCGATGCTATAGTTTAAAGAGAGAGGAGTGTTACTGTTGAAAGAAGCAGAGGTGGATTTGTGAAGGTGACTCACAGGGAAGCACGTTGTTGTAGCGGTTCTTGGGCTTGTTCTCCATAGTCAGAGCGCTTGTTTTTGACTGACCCGTACCAACAAGCTTCAGGTCCTTTAAAAGAAAGGGGAAAAAAAATGTGACTCACGATTTGATGGCTCACTTTACGCCCAAAATCTAGTGCATGTGCAATACCACAGACAGCAACTACATATCAGTATGGAAGCACAGTCACTGAGATATTTGACCTCCAGTTACTAATAAATTTCATGTTTTGTTTTTGTTTTTTACTGCGAGTCCACCGCTTTGCACCAGTGAAGTATGTCGCAAATTGTAAGCATTACTGTAAAACTGATGTTTGGTCCAAATGTCTTTCAAACACTGCTTCATTTGTACCAGTACTGATTTATCTTTAAACATTACAGCATTAAAGTGTCTGACATATCTGAAGGAGAATATATTCAATATTCAATATAAACATTGAACTTAATCACATTTACACATATTAAAATTACATGATTAGATCGATCTGGAATAAACTACAAAATATACTGGACAATATTTTGATACTGATCCCATTGGCCACTAAATGTTTTTTTTTTTTTTTAGCAATAATTGTCTGCTATGAATAGGCACATTTTCTATCAGAAGCCCTTGAATATTAAGTTTTTGTTTCACCTCAAACTCTTCAGCAAAGCCACAGTTGGAGTCTGCTTTCTGCTTCTTGTAGTAATCCTCATAGTCCTCCACCCTCACCGCCACACTTCTGCTCAAATGGACACCGGAGATAAGACAAGAAATGAGTTTTGTTCAGAAAACCATTTCAGCACAGTTCAGTCTGTTCCGGTCATGATGTGTAGATCTGATTATACTTTATTATTTATAGGATTTATACTTACACTTTGGCTCTGGAAAAAGAAAGAGGAAAAAGCAACATTGACTAACAGCTATAAGCATTGTTGTCCATTTACTTTGAACTTACAATAACATGGTAAAAATGAAAGCCTTACCTCATTGAATGAATCTGAATGTCTGATGATTCTTTGTTAGATAACCTACAGTTCATAAATAGAGAGTCTGGTGTTTACTCCTATACACATTTTTATTTTATTTTACTGGTAATTTCTATCAATTATGACAATGACAAACCTTTTCCAGTAGATGATGAAGCCAATGAGGATGATGAAGAGTACAAAAAAAATTCCCAGTGTTACTCCGACAGCAGTCCCAATGACAGCTGAAATGTTGACAAAGATTACGACAGAGAGTTATTTGGGAGCGTTTCATAGCAAAACAGACAAACATAAAATGTGATTCTGGGTACCTGGGTTTTGTGGGAGTTGAACAGTAGGGTAGAAGTTTGTAATTGTGACCAGTGAATATTGAACATTCACAAGGCCATCTGTCGTAGTCAGATTTGTGCACAACACAATGGCGTATCTGCAGGATAAGAGATATCATTTTTTTTTATATGTATGTATGTATGTATGTATGTATATATATATATATATACATATGTATATATATATATATACACACAGATCTTACATTTTGACTTTTGACTTTCTTTTTAGGTCTATAATGAAATAAGTATCACAAAATAACTAATGCTGTAATATTTGCTAGATGATGTAATGATTTGTCAGTATCTGAAAACCTGCATAACTTAACATGATAAATCAAATTATCAAGATAAAATCATTACTTAACATACAATGAAAATGCATTGCTAACATTAAAAAAAATTCAAGTGTTACAGATACATCATTAGTCATTTTAATGACTATTGAAACAAAACAAAACACAAACATACATTATTACACATTATTAAGAAGTAACAACAATAGTTGGCAGTTCAAATACATATGATCTTATATAATATAGCAATAACCTATAAAGAAGATGATTATTCAGTCATTGAGATTTTACTATAATATACACAGTATCACTTTTGTTCTTACATGTATTTTCCAGTGGCATCCAGAGGACCATTAGTGTAACCGTTCCATTTGGATTCATCTCCTACTTCTATGCTCAGATGGTTGTTTCCACTGCGTGACTGGACACTGGTCTCTCTGATTGTTGCCAGGTATACTGGAGTATCCTTTGCCTTCCACTGATCATAGGTTTTCCCCAAGTACATATTCAAATTGTCACCTGAAAGGTCTGGAATAACCATTGAGTCTTAATCATATGAAACAAATAAAGAAAATATAAGAAATACCTACGACTCAGCATAAATAAATGGATCTCCAGGACTGATTCACAACAAATTGTCACTTCCGAATGAATGGATTACGATGACGTGACATAATTATAAAACACACCCTGACATTAAGAAAAGAAAAAGAAACCCACCAGAGGGGCTGTTTGTCACCATCACTCCGACATGTGTGATTGGCCCATTGGTGTCACTCAGCAGCTCTGTGTTAATCTGAAGGGAGAATCTGTTGTATACCGTCTCACTCACCAACAACAGTGACTCATAGTTGGGTGGAATGTTTGGAGCTTCAAGAATAAAAATTATGAAAAGAGAAAACGATTTGGTTTTGAGAAGTTCTTACTCATACATCTTACATCACAAAAACATTTTTAAAAAACTGTAAAGAAAATACAGAAATAGAGTTTTGAGCTTGCTACCTTAACCAGCCTAGCATATTTCTAGTGAGTGTCTCAAATGACTGGATCTCTTTCAGCATGAGCAACAGACAAATAAAGGTTTGCTGCATGTATCTCAAAAAAAATTCAAAAACCTGTATTAAAATATGTTTGAATTATGTTTGATTATTAGTATTTGCATTCTACAGTTCTACAGTGTAACTATAATGTCCACAAAGCATAATGTCCTACCTGTAATGCCTGTGTGGCATTTCAGAGACACAGGAGTGCTGGGCTCTCCACAGCTCAGTGTCTCCACAGACAGCTTGTATTCAGTATTGTGACGAAGATTGGAAACAGTCTGACTGCAACAGGTGTTTGTCGAGTTGCTGATCTTGCTGTCGTTTACAGTGACCAGGAAGCCGGAGTGCTGGCCACTGGGTGCGGTCCAGGACAAGACGATTTTTGCATTTGGTTTGTTTGGACCGTTGCACTTTAAGTGTTTCACTGGGCTTGCCTCTGCAGCATCACATAGAAATGAATGTTAGGAGAAACATAACACTGATAATTCACAAATAAAACAGTTTTTGATATTAAACTAGATTAATATATAATAATATTGGCCAAAAATATAATTGCTGCATCATTTAAGTCGAGCAATTTCCCTTCCATTACTTAAAAAAACTGTGTCCATCTGTCAGCAACATCCACTTCACTTTCTGATTAAAAAAAATGTATTAAAAATATCTAAATTGTCCTTATTAGATAAAATCTTAAAACTAGAATGCCACACTTTGTAACTGTAATTACACCTAAAATAAGCTTGCATTTCACATTTTTCATGCATGTTCAGACAAAAGACAAAATTATTTGAAACCATGTGATAGCAATATGAAATTTATCAAACTGTTATGATCATACTTGTGCAGCTGGAATTCGATGTTGGAGCACTCTGTGTTCCGTCAGAGGTCTCTGTGGTGACATTATAGCTATAGAGGCTGCCAGGATCCAGCTTATAGATAGTATACTCAGTTTTGGATGTTATGTTACTGATGGGCCCATCTTGGCCTTGCCAGGTCAATTTGTAACGATAACCTCCTTTGTAATCAGCAGGTTGTTTCCATGTGACTGTGATGTTGTTCTCTTCTGCCTTACGAGGCACAAGAGACTCCACACTCAATGGTCCTGTATGCAAGACATTTAAGAGATGTAAATGTTACTCCAGATATAAAAAAGGTGACAGAGGAGAGTGCTTGTGCTTGCACATTGCTTGGGTACAGAAATAAAACCCTTACTTGTAGTAACAAAGTAGATGTGAACCCTCTCACTCTCAAAACCCATGACACCCACTGTTACGATGGAGATGTTGTAGGAAGTCCCAGAAAGCAGGGGGGCAAAAGTGTGACTGGTGGTGTTGGTAATGAAGACTCCATCTCCCTGGGATGGTGTGTTGGTCAGTTTGTAGACGAATGATGCACCAGTCATCAGAGGAGCTTCCTCCCACCTAATTTCAATGGAACTGGTTGTCTTTGTCAGGACTTCAATTGACCCGGGAGGGTTAGGGACTGGGAGGGGTAAGGAGTGGAATTGAAGCATGTTAACTTCAACAAGCAGAGTTATTCTTCCATTCATCAACTCAAAACATTTTTATGATATTGCTATCCTTCCACAGTGAGTGAGTAATGTCACTCAGAAGGATGATAGAGGAGTAACCATTATCGTTTCATTGCACATCGTGTTCTTTAAAGCACGATCAGCTGCGCTTGCAACTGCAGGACTACATCATTATATTACAAAAAATAAAGTCAAAGAAGATATCACTGTTGTTCCCAATGTCAAGAAAATTTTCATGGCATAAATAAAACCTGAAAAACTAAAAACTAAAAATGTGCAGAACTTCTTCTGCATTACTGGTTACAACACCACTGAAAACTTTAATTGTTAACACATTTATCATACTTACAAGTTCCATTAGTGACGGATCTAGATGATGCACTGAAGGGTCCACTATATGAGATTACCCTGGCAGTGTAAAGCCTCCCTGCGGACAGGCTTTCAAACAGAGAAGAGGTACTGGTAGAGTTAGTCTCTTTCTCCTCTATAGCTGAGGAAGTTCCATTTAGATAAACCTTGTAATATTCCACTTTTCCAGAAGGTTTGGGCCATGACACCAGGATCGAACTATTGGAGCCCTGGCTGGAGATGCTGGGTTGCACTGTCTCAGGCTCTGTTAATGTACACAGGAGGAAAGATTAAAGCTAAATCAATTAGTTGAAATAAACAAAACAGAAATGAAAGGTGAGAATCTTACTAGTGTACTGCGAGGTGCATTCTGCTTCCCCTTCGATGCCATCCGCTGCCCTGACTGAAACACAGAAGGTGCATTCGGTCCCAGGGGTGAGCGCTGAGATCTGGGCAACGTTTTCTGCAATGGTTTTGTTTTGGGAGCCACAGCCACTTGTCTGAATCCGATATTTATATTCACTCTTATCCTCCAGTGGTACTTCCCAAGTCAGATGTACAGTGGTTGTGTTTAAGGTTTTAGCCTTCAACGATCTAATTCTATGAGGCCCTACAAACAGAGAAGAGAGGGTTAATTTTGAAAACAACAACATTAGGCACACTTGTTCTTCCATATTCTGTCAAATTAGCTGCACTTCCCTCAGTACAAAAGTTACAGACAGATAAAAGGTAAAGGAATAAAGATAAACTAAATGTGTTTCGTTAAGTGTGTAATTGTCTTCTTTGGTTGTTTTGCTTATTTAGCTTTGTTGTAATATTGTAAATGTCCAGGTGTAGAGACAGTGTATGTATACATATATACATACGTGTATAGTAGGAGACTGTCACAGGAGATGCCTGAGTGCCATCTGGTGTCTGTGTAGTGACAGTGAAGTTGTAGCTGCTCCCAGATGAAAGTCCATTGATTTCGTCTTTGGTGTTAAAAACTACTTTTTCAGAAGAAGGAAAGGAGCCATTGGTGACTTGCACCTTATATGAATAGTGAGATTTGCTCTGCCTTTGTTCCCACACCAAGGTCACTGAATTTGTGGTGATTTTTTCCTCTCTCAGGCTGCTTACAGGATATGGTCCTGAGAAAATAAAACAGATGAGACACAGTGGATATAAAAAATAAGTTTTCAGTCAGATTTTGGGCAAAAATAGCATCTGCGGTTCGCCACAAAGACATAAGGGGTAAAGAAACAAGCATTTGGGAGTTAATATGCTGTAATAATTATGTACTCAGTATGCCACTTGGTGCTTCTGGCCTTGAAATGATGTCAATGGACACCCATCTAGCTCATAAATCACATTTCTAAATAGATGAATGAATAAACTCGAATCGAACAATAAAAACTGACTACAGACAGAAAAAGACTAACTTTAGAAAAAGAAAACTATTAAGAAAATATAATAAAGTTTACCATCCACAGTAATAACCCTTATGTGATCTATGTGTATCAATCACACTCACTGGTATAGTTCTGTGCTGTCACTGCTGTGCTCTCATAGCCATATACGCCTACAGTAACAACAGAGATGTTGTAGGGGCTTCCAGATTCCAGTCTGTCCAACAGGAACCAGTTGTTTTCAGTCAGATAGGAGCCATTAACGGTGGACACACTGAAGTTGTATTTATTATGGTCCATGTCCTCTGGAACTGGCCAGGTAAAGTTGATGGACTCCACAGTCTGAGACTCCACTGTGATGGGGCCAGGAGGGTTGGGAACTGAAGAGGAAAAGGAATACTGTTTCATTAGAGCTTAATTCAAATAAGCATTTATTAAATAAATGGTCAAAATACATACAAAATGCAAAAGTACAAACAGATTTGATTTACAAGTCACAATCTTGATGTAACTCACGAGTTGCGTTGCAAATTCTTTGACTGTAGCTCTCAAAAGATCCACTTGTGGTGAACACCTCTACACAGTAAAGCACTCCTGGTATCAGGCGCTGAAATACTTTGGTTACAGTAGTGTTGCTCAGATCCGTGCTGTTCCCCACCAACTGCCCATCTCTGTACAGCAGGACAGTGTAGGAGACCACCGCCCCAACTGCTGGGGTCCAGCTCACTGACATGGTAGTTGTGTTTCCTATGGCTATGATGTCAGAAACTGCCTCAGGCCCTGAAGGAAAAAAGATTTGAATTTAATGTAATATACATTGAGATAATCTTAAATATCTCAGATCTGTCTAACATAATGAGCACACATTAAGTTAACTTGAAAAAAATAGGCAGGGTGGAGAGTAACACAATAATTGTAACACAGTTATTGTATTCTAAAATGTTCTATGATGGACTCTAGACTGAACATTTTAAAGGAAGACCTGCATTACAAACTGGAGTTGTGGCATTCGAAATATGTGGGAATTTAACAGGCAGGGCGTTTTTTTTTGGGAGATTAAAGTGGCAATAGACAAGTTTTTTTGCTTTTATTTATGAATTAATTTAGGAATAACTTAGGAATTAAATGTTGATTGCACAATGTGATGACTATAGAACAATGACACCGCCTGTTTCACCTTCAGATTGGTTCCCTATAAGCCTTGCTTTCGATATACAACTCTATCTGTCGCTGGGTACAAAATCTCCTGGGAAAAAATGGAGTCACTGTGGAAACACTACCCAGCAAAAGAAAAAAAGGGTCCTGTTGTCAGATGGGGCAAGGAAGGTGAAGCATTCACTCAATGGAGAGAGCAATGGTTGGACTGGGCCAGAAATTCAGCCCTGAGCTTATCCGCTGGGATCATTTCCAAGTAATACCACTGGGAAACACTGGGGGTTGAAAAGTTGTCTGTTTCCACTTTAACCCATAATAGGGACTAAAAATCATTTTGTCACCTTTGCTTGGATTTTGAGCATTCTGGTGTTTTTTTTATAGTTGTCTCTCATGTCTGTCATATATATAAACACATTTTAGAAATGTTGAAGACATACTTGTGTAACTTGATGTGTTTTCCCTTGTGGACTTGACCCCTTCTACAACTGTAAACACATAAAAAGTGTACAGTTCTCCAGGTGTCAGATGGAAGAAGGTATAAGTCTCTGTCTCTGTTTGATTTTTCTGAACCTCTATGGCGTCCTGGAGCGCTATCACCAGGTAGGAGTAGGAAGTCTTAAAATCACTTTGTTTGACCCACGTCAGCCGGATGGCTGTTGTGTTCACTTCACTCACTGTGAGGTTGGTCACTGCTTTGGGCACTGTAGCAAATACAGCAGAGGGTTATATAAGGCCAAAAACCTCAACAAAGGTATTTTATATTTTTGTGGTTTGTGGTTTTGTGTATATAGGATATCATAAAGTTAAAGCAGTATAGAACCAATTAAGGCTTCAGCAGTTTCGCTGTGTTTAAAAAGAAGGTCTTACGTGTGTAATTGAATGTCTGTTCCTCCGTGGATTCAATTCCTGGTTCTATTCTTGTGATGACACTGATATTATATCTAGTTCCTGGCTTCAGGCCAAGTATATCTTTGCTGTTATTGCTTGTTTGAAATGTTTCTGTGGCGTTGGTGGTGTAGGTTGTAATCAAGTATATGTAATATGACTGGGCTCCCAGCGGGTATGACCATTCCACTCTGATCGAGGTGGTGGATTTAGGGTGGGCTGCAATGTTCAACACAGGGTTGGGCACTAGAAAGATGACAAACAAGATGGAAATGTTAGTTAGAAAAGTAATTTGATAAGAAGAGATTTCTGTCACATACTTTATGATGCATTTATAATATACAGTAAGTTATGTAATATGCAGTATTCTTAGGTGCTGGCAAAAACAAACCACTGGGTTGTCATATAAATATTGCAAATTTGAATTAAAACACTCCAAGCAATAGAGACACTTCTCTGTCCTTTGGTGTCTCCTTGTTGTACTCACGAGTGAAAGTAGAATAACTGACAGCCATGCTCCTTAAATTTTGGGGTCCAACTGTTTCGACAGTTATATTGTAGCGAATTCCAGAGAAAAGCTGGGACAGCTCTGTGCTATTGAGTGTGGAGGTTTTGTTTTGTAGCTCGCTATGCTCAGACTGGTGATAAGTGATATGGTAGCTGATGTCTGGAGCACCCTCCATCAAGACAGGAATCGCCCACTTCAGGAGGAGCGACGAGTTTGTCCTGTCACTGATGATAATGGAACCAGGAGGCGTGGGACCTAAGAGGTGTGAATAACAGGTACAGGTCAGTAATATTTTCCTTTAACTGTGTTGTTTAAAAAAACAAACAAATATAAAACAAAAAGTTTTTGCAGTCAGGCTCTAGTGTGGTGATTCTGGAGACATGCAATTGGTGAGATCAAACACACAATGTAAAGAGCATTTTGTTAGCATGGTGTTTCGACAAAATATCACATTTACTGAATGTGTTTAATGGTTTAAATCCATTAAATGAACTACTTTTACTTACAAAACATTATTAGAAGTATAACCCATATTATTTAGCTGCTCTCAAGATCTGATCAAGAAAACCCCATGAAAACAACAACAGAAAAGGATGTTAAACTTACTAGTTGCAAGTGAAGCCTGGTCAGACATGTTGTTTAAGTTTCCAGCTACAGCTGTCACTATGATATCATAGATTCTCCCAGGATATAAATCAGTAAAGTTGGCTGTGGTGGCTCTTGTTACGGTGGTATTCGAATAGTTCAGTATCGTATTTGAGATTGTCACCACGTAATGATCAACATTCCCTTTAGGCAAAGTCCAGCTGACAGACAAGCTATTAGTTCCTTGTCCTGTAATGTCCCCAGGCTTCGCAGGCCCTGTACAAAAAAACAAGTATAAGGTGTTTTTTTTCTTATAATTACCTTGTGAAAAAACATAATATGATGTGTCACATTTTGAAATGACAAAATGTAAATAAAGTACATATATTTGCTGTTAATGCATATTTTAATCAATTAAAAGCTAAAATATTGAATTTTGATTATTAGATATTAGTACTCCATTCACCATACTTCCACTCTATTTATTCCTGTATTTCGGGATGTAGGGGGCTCTGCATAGAAATAGCACCTTTGTTGTCTGATGGCTGGACTCTAACTGGCAGAGTAGACAGGCCTCACTGGCTCTCATCCATTTCCTAAATTTCTCACGTGCTCACTGTCTCAGCTGGCAGGCTAAAGCACATTAGAATGTGAATCTGCTGAGTGTCTATGCCTGACCCTAAGATCCAAACAATGGCACCAGCTCGACCTCATCGTCATGGCACAAGAGGCACTGACCAACATCAACATCAGTCAACAGCAGTCATCCAGCTTTTCCTCACCTCCCTTGACCAAGTGCTCTCTGCCTCCAACCAGCAAAGTGCTGTGGACAAATGGAACTGCCTATATAACTTTATTTAGGCCCTTGCAGCTTATGGCAAGAAAGCGAGGAGGAACACAGACCAACGCAGCAGAGATGGAACCAGTCATCAAGGGCCAAATGTACTGCTTCCCTCAAGCACAAGGCAAACCATCAACAAAGAACTTTGAGACTCTGAGAGAAGCTAAAAACAGAGGCCAGCAAAGAACAAAAATCTGTGCCAACAACTACTGGGCTGAGCTCTCCTCCAACATTCAGACCATCTCTAACATGGGGGACATCAGGGGCATGGATGAGGGGATCAAACAAGCAACAGGTCCCCCCCCATCATGAAAATGGTGTCATTCAAATCCAAGTCAGGTGAAGTCATCACCATTGGCAGCAAGCAGATGGAAAGGTGAGCTGAACACTACATGGAGCTGTACACAGCAGCAAACACTGCGTCCGAGGCAGTGTGAACAGCATTGCAAGCCTGTCTGTGATAGAGGAGCTTAATAAAGAACAAGGGAGAAGCTCAGCAAAGCCACCGATAGCCTTGCATTCAGCAAAGCCCCAGGTGCTGACAGGATAACACCCAAAGTCATCAAACTTAGGAAACCTTTCTTACTTCCACATCCTCACAATATCCTCCACCTCTATTGGAATGAAGGAGTTCTCCCCCTGGATGTGTGTGATACCAAGATTGTCATGATGTACAAGAACAAATGACAGCAGTAACTACCTTTGATCTTCACCCTTCACCAGCTGCAGGAGAAATCCCAAGAGCAGAGGACCCCTTGATCTTGCCTCTATCGATCTCACAAAGACCTTTAACCTTGTCGGCAGAAATGGTCTCTTCAAGCTTCCTGTGAAAATTGTAAACTGTGTTCTTGCGCCAACTCTCTCTGGTATTCTCTTTTCTCTCCTGCTGGTGTTTGCATTTGGCTCAACCCCTGATGGTATCTACCTACACACCAGAGCTGACACCAGACTGTTTAACCTTGCCTGCTTGCAGTCCAAGACCAAAATAACCAGTGTGCTCCTGAGGGGAATGGTATTTACAGACAATGGACGCGTCATCAGCACCCTGCAATAAGACAGTGACGCCTGGACCACCTGCACCAGCCAAGAAAAACGGCTGAACAACTTCCACCTGGGATTGCCTACGCCACATCCCGGATATTACATGGCAGGAGAGAGTACCTAACAGTCCTGGAACAAGATCATTCCTCCAGCATGTTTACCATGACTCCAAGGTTGGAAGACTGACAAAAGGCACACATCCTTACTACAGAAGAATAGACATAAGGGAACTGCAAGCAGCATCTCCCTCTTCTGTACCAACCTGTTGTTAGGTTTATTAATGTTTTGTTTTGTCTGACCAACAAGAAGAACCGGAAAACCCTCCTAGGAAGATATAACCCTGATACACCTGAACTTCTCCTTTGAGAGGACTTGTTATTCTACACCTGGACTTGACTTATATTAGCCTCTGAATGTCGTCCTACTTGTGATCATTCTCCACCAGGTCTCCTCAGCAGACCTCCTGACAGTATCAACCACATTTAAACGCTTACTTACTTGTGTACTGAGTAACAGCAGTGGTCTGTCCCTTAGTATGGTTGTCATCTGCCACTGCAGTAACATTTATTTTATACTGGACACCAGCAGTCAGGTTACTAATGGTCATAGATGTTTCAGACACATTTTCAGTGGCACTGAAATTTCCATCTGTCCACTCCACTGTATAGAAGGAGCTGTTTCCTTCTGGTTCACTCCAGTTCACAGACACAGAGGATGTGGTGACGTTTGTGACAGTGAGATTTCTGACTAGTTCAGGCCCTGTGATGCAGGATAAATACACAATGAGGAAAAACACGACACAGATTGATGAAAACATCTAACATTAGAATTGAGGTGTTACATGAAGAGGGCTAACTTGGTCAATTAAACGAACTAGATTAAAGAAGATGAACATCCATGAACAGATGTTGAATGCACAAAGTGTGGCTTACTTGTGACTGAGGTGAATGTGTAAGGGTCTCCTTCTGTCTCATTGTCTCCAGCAACAGCTGTGATGGTGATTGTGTATTTAGTACCAGAGATCAGCTCTGACAGCACAGCAAAGTTATCATTTGTGTATGTAGTCATCAGCAGTCCACCATTGTGCCACTCCAACCTGTACATGAACACCTCACCAGGAGGTGAGGCCCAGTTCACAGAGATGGAGGAGGTGTTTTGGGACACAATGTGATGGTTTCCAATTATACCTGGTCCTATACAGGAGAGGAGAGGAGAGGAGAGGATAAGACTTGGGAGTAAAACCTGTAATCTGAGATGAAAAGAGCAGCAACTAGATGAAGAAAAAAGACAATTAGAAAAGTACTCACATCAAGACAAATAAATTATAAAGTATTACATTTTTTTGGGATTTAAGCACTAAAACACAAAACGGGGTAGAGCCACCATGATCAGAAAAATCATATTCATCATCTTACTTGTATGATGAAAAATCTGTGCCATTTCACTTTCTGTTTGGTTATCTCCAGCCACTGCTATGACAGTAAAACTGTAATTCACTCCAGCAGTCAGCTCAGTGATGTTTAGTTTTGTTTCAGTGATAGTGACCCTCCCGTTAGTTGATCCATTAGTCCACTGTACTCTATAAAAGGAGCGCTTTCCCTTTGGTTCAGTCCACATCACATACACTGAGGATGTGGTGACGTTAGTGACACTGAGGTTACAGACTACTTCAGGCTCTGTGAGGGAAAACGTGTTAAATGGGTAAATAGAGAGTTTTTATCATTTCATCAAGCATCTACTTTGAAAATCTTTTAAATTAGTAGTAACAGTGAAAACATGAGACATGCTGCTCCAGCAAAGTGATCAAGCTGCTTCCATCCAGCTGGAAGTTCATTTAGCATCCTTTTTAAACATCGACTTTTTCATGTAGCCACATTTCTTAAGGCAGACACCCAGGGTCATCCTTAACAGGTGACCAAACCCCCTCGTCTGACTTGTGTCATAACAGAGAAAAGGCAGCTTGACATAGAGACTGACTTTCCACTGCACAATGAAAAGTGAATCAACTCTGTGTTGACGACTCATTTCAGCTGCTGTATCCAGACCTCATTCTCTCAGTCCCTATCTAGAATCTTTAGCCAGAGCTACGGAGCAAAAACAAAACTGGACCAACAAAAATACAAACATTTGCCTCACTGCTGAACTCTCTGATCATCACTGTGATCCAGTTCAACAGCATCACTGAAGCTGATGCCCAACACAGCCTCAGTACAACCAACAACTGTCTCACCCTCCTGTGAGGATACAACCCTGATACACCTGAACTTCTCCTTTGAGAGGACTTGTTATTCCACACCTGGAGAGTCTTCTCCACCAGGTCTCCCTCAGCAGACCTCCTGGACACGTATCAACCACATTTAAACGCTTACTTACTTGTGTACTGAGTAACAGCAGTGCTCTGTCCCTTAGTATGTTGTCATCTGCCACTGCAGTAACATTTTATTTTATACTGGACACCAGCAGTCAGGTTACTAATGGTCATAGATGTTTCAGACACATATTTCACTGGCACTGAAATTTCCATCTGTCCACTCCACTGTATAGAAGGAGCTGTTTCCTTCTGGTTCACTCCAGTTCACAGACACAGAGGATGTGGTGACGTTTGTGACAGTGAGATTTCTGACTAGTTCAGGCCCTGTGATGCAGGATAAATACACGGAGGAAGAGGAGAAAGAAAACTCATGACTGTGGCAAGTACAAAATAGGAGAGTGCAGACACCCATACAAACAAACTACAAACAGCAAAAAGCTGTAATTCAAAATAGATAAAATGTGTTTACTTGTGACTGAGGTGAATGTGTAAGGGTCTCCTTCTGTCTCATTGTCTCCAGCAACAGCTGTGACGGTGATTGTGTATTTAGTACCAAGAGATCAGCTCTGACAGCACAGCAAAGTTATCATTTGTGTATTTAGTCATCAGCACTCCACCATTGTGCCACTCCAACCTGTACATAGAACACCTCACCAGGAGGTGAGGTCCAGTCTCACAGAGATAGGAGGAGGTGTTTTGGACAACAATATGATGGTTTCCAATTATACCTGGTCCTATACAGGAAGGAGAGGAGAGGAGAGGAGAGGAGAGAGGAGAGGAGAGGAGAGGAAGGAGAGGAGGGAGAGAGAGGAGAAGGAGAGAGAGGGGAAGGACGTGGGACTTAAACCTAGTAACATTATTTGTGATGTGTCTGTTGGTTACAAAAAGCACATCAGTAACATTCATATATTAAATGTGGATTTTAATGTTCTGATCCTCATGAAAAAAAACTTTTCTATCATTTTGTTTTTGTGATGTAATAAAACACAAAACGGGTAGAGCCACCATGATCAGAAAAATCATATTCATCATCTTACTTGTATGATGAAAAATCTGTGCCATTTCACTTTCTGTTTGGTTATCTCCAGCCACTGCTATGACATGAAAACTGTAATTCACTCCAGCAGTCAGCTCAGTGATGTTTAGTTTTGTTTCAGTGATAGTGACCCTCCCGTTAGTTGATCCATTAGTCCACTGTACTCTATAAAAGGAGCGCTTTCCCTTTGGTTCAGTCCACATCACATACACTGAGGATGTGGTGAGTTAGTGACACTGAGGTTACAGACTACTTCAGGCTCTGTGAGGGAAAATGTGTTAAATGGGTAAATAGAGAGTTTTTATCATTTCATCAAGCATCTACTTTGAAAATCTTTAAATGTAGTAGTGTGAAAACATGAGACATGCTGCTCACCAAAGTGATAAGCTGCTTCCATCCAGCTGGAAGTTCATTTAGCATCCTTTTAACACAGAGCTTTTTCATGTAGCACATTTCTTAAGGCAGACACCCAGGGTCATCCTTAACAGGTGACCAAACCCCCTCGTCTGACTTGTGTCATAACAGAGAAAAGGCAGCTTGACATAGAGACTGACTTTCCATGCACAATGAAAAAGTGAATCAACTCTGTGTTGACGACTCATTTCAGCTGCTGTTATCCACACCTCATTCTCTCAGTCCCTATCTAGAATCTTTAGCCAGAGCTACGGAGCAAAACAAAACTGGACCAACAAAATATACAAACATTTGCCTCACTGCTGAATCTCTCATCATCACTGTGATCCTCAACAGCATCATGAAGCTGATGCCCAACACAGCCTCAGTACAACCAACAACTGTCTCACCCTCCTGTGAGGATACAACCCTGATACACCTGAACTCTCCTTTGAGAGGACTTGTTATTCCACACCTGACTTCTCTTATATTAGCCTCGAATGTCGTCCTGCTTGTGATCATTGCAGAGTCTCCCACCAGGTCTCCTCAGCAGACCTCCTGACAGTATCACCACATTTAAACGCTTACTTACTTGTGTACTGAGTAACAGCAGTGGTCTGTCCCTTAGTATGGTTGTCATCTGCCACTGCAGTAACATTTATTTTATACTGGACACCAGCAGTCAGGTTACACAATGGTCATAGATGTTTCAGACACATTTTCAGTGGCACTGAAATTTCCATCTGTCCACTCCACTGTATAGAAGGAGCTGTTTCCTTCTGGTTCACTCCAGTTCACAGACACAGAGGATGTGGTGACGTTTGTGACAGTGAGATTCTGACTAGTTCAGGCCCTGTTGATGAGGATAATACACGGTGAGGAAGAGGAGAAAGAAAACTCATGACTGTGGCAAGTACAAAATAGGAGAGTGCAGACACCCATACAACACAACTACAAACAGCAAAAAGCTGTAATTCAAATAGATAATATGTTTCTTGTGACTGAGGTGAATGTGTAAGGGTCTCCTTCTGTCTCATTGTCTCCAGCAACAGCTGTGACGGTGATTGTGTAGTTAGTACCAGAGATCAGCTTGACAGCACAGCAAAGTTATCATTTGTGTATGTAGTCATCAGCACTCCACCATTGTGCCACTCCAACCTGTACATGAACACCTCACCAGGAGGTGAGGTCCAGTTCACAGAGATGGAGGAGGTGTTTTGGGACACAATATGATGGTTTCCAATTATACCTGGTCCTATACAGGAGAGGAGAGGAGAGGAGAGGAGAGGAGGGGAAGGGGAGGAGAGAGGGAGAGAGAGGAGGAAGGAGAGGGAGAGAGGAGAGGAGAGGAGGAGAGAGAGGAGAGGGAGGAGAGGAGAGAGGAGAGGAGAGAGGAAGGAGAGGAGGGGAGAGGAGAGGCGTGGACTTAAACCTAGTAACATTTATTTGTGATGTGTCTGTTGGTTACAAAAAGCACATCAGTAACATTCATATATTAAATGTGGATTTTTGTTCTGATCCTCATAAAAAAAAACTTTTCTATCATTTGTTTTGTGAGTAAATAAACACAAAACGGGGTAGAGCCACCATGATCAGAAAAATCATATTCATCATCTTACTTGATGATGAAAAATCTGCTCATTTCACTTTCTGTTTGGTTATCTCCAGCCACTGCTATGACAGTAAAACTGTAATTCACTCCAGCAAGTTCAGCTCAGTGATGTTTTTTTTGTTTCAGTTGATAGTGACCCTCCCGTTAGTTGATCATTCCCATTTAGTCCAACGTGTGGATCTACTATAAGAGAGCGAGTTGCGTGTGTGTCACACAGCATATACTGAGATCGGGTGAGGTTAGTCGAGACTGGTACAGACTACTCAGGCTCTGTGAGGGAAAACGTGTTAAATGGGTAAATAGAGAGTTTTTATCATTTCATCAAGCATCTACTTTGAAAATCTTTTAAATTAGTAGTAACAGTGAAAACATGAGACATGCTGCTCCAGCAAAGTGATCAAGCTGCTTCCATCCAGCTGGAAGTTCATTTAGCATCCTTTTTAAACATCGCTTTTTCATGTAGCACATTCTTAAGGCAGACACCAGGTCATCCTTAACAGGTGACCAAACCCCTCGTCTGACTTGTGTCATAACAGAGAAAAGGCAGCTTGACATAGAGACTGACTTTCCACTGCACAATGAAAGTGAATCAACTCTGTGTTGACGACTCATTTCAGCTGCTGTATCCAGCCCTATTCTCTCAGCATCCTATCTAGAATCTTTAGCCAGAGCTATACGGAGCAAAAACAAAAACTGGACCAACAAAAATACAAACATTTGCCTCACTGCTGAACTCTCTGATCATCACGTGTGATCCAGTTCAACAGCATCACTGAAGCTGATGCCAACACAGCCTCAGTACAACCAACAACTGTCTCACCCTCCTGTGAGGATACAACCCGATACACCTGAACTTCTCCTTTGAGAGGGACTTGTTATTCCACACCTGGACTTCTCTATTATTAGCCTCTGAATGTCGTCCTGCTTGTGATCATATGCAGAGTTCTTCTCCACCAGGTCTCCTCAGCAGACCTCCTGACAGTATCAACCACATTTAAACGCTTACTTACTTGTGTACTGAGTAACAGCAGTGCTCTGTCCCTTAGTATGGTTGTCATCTGCCACTGCAGTAACATTTATTTTATACTGGACACCAGCAGTCAGGTTACTAATGGTCATAGATGTTTCAGACACATTTTCAGTGGCACTGAAATTTCCATCTGTCCACTCCACTGTATAGAAGAGCTGTTTCCTTCTGGTTCACTCCAGTTCACAGACACAGAGGATGTGGTGACGTTTGTGACAGTGAGATTTCTGACTAGTTCAGGCCTGTGATGCAGGATAAATACACGGTGAGGAAGAGGAGAAGAAAACTCATGACTGTGGCAAGTACTAAATAGGAAGAGCAACACCCATACAACAAACTACAAACAGCAAAAAGCTGTAATTCAAAATAGATAAATGTGTTTACTTGTGACTGAGGTGAATGTGTAAGGGTCTCCTTCTGTCTCATTGTCTCCAGCAACAGCTGTGACGGTGATTGTGTAGTTAGTACCAGAGATCAGCTCTGACAGCACAGCAAAGTTATCATTTGTGTATTAGTCATCACACTCCACCATTGTGCCACTCCAACTTACATGAACACCTCACCAGGAGGTGAGGTCCAGTTCACAGAGATGGAGGGTGTTTTGGGACACAAATATGATGGTTTCCAATTATACCTGGTCCTATAACAGGAGAGGAGAGGAGAGGAGAGGAAGGAGGGAGGAGAGGAGAGAGAGAGGAGAGGAGGGAGAGAGGGAGAGGAGGCGAGGAGAGGAGGAGAGAGGAGAGAGAGGAGAGGAGAGAGGAGAGGAAGGGAGAGAGGAGTGGTTTAACCTAGTAACATTTATTTGTGATGTGTCTGTTGGTTACAAAAAAGCACATCAGTAACATTCATATATTAAATGTGGATTTTGTTTTCTGATCCTCATAAAAAAAAACTTTTCTATCATTTTGTTTTGTGATGTAATAAAACACAAAACGGGGTAGAGCCACCATGATACAGAAAAATCATATTCATCATCTTACTTGTATGATAAAATCTGTGCCTTTCACTTTCTGTTGGTTATCTCCAGCCACTGCTATGACAGTAAAACGTTAATTCACTCCAGCAGTCAGCTCAGTGATGTTTAGTTTTGTTTCAGTGATAGTGACCTCCCGTTAGTTGTCCATTAGTCCACTGTACTCTAATAAAGAGAGCGCTTCCTTTTGGTTCAGTAACATCACATACACTGAGGATGTGGTGACGTTAGTGACACTGAGGTTACAGACTACTTCAGGCTCTGTGAGGGAAAGTGTTAAATGGGTAAATAGAGAGTTTTTTCATCATTCATCAGCATTACATCTTTGAAAATCTTTTAAATAGTAGTATCAGTAGAAACATGAGACATGCTGCTCCAGCAAAGTGATCAAGCTGCTTTCCATCCAGCTGGAAGTTCATTTAGCATCCTTTTTAACATCGACTTTTTCATGTAGCCACATTCTTAAGGCGACACCCACCAGGGTCAACTTAACGTGTGACCAAACCCCCTCGTCTGACTTGTGTCATAACAGAGAAAAAGGCAGCTTGACATAGAGACTGACTTTCAGCGCACAATGAAAAGTGAATCAACTCTGTGTTGACGACTCATTTCAGCTGCTGTATCCAGACCTCATTCTCTCAGTCCCTATCTAGAATCTTTAGCCAGAGCTACGGAGCAAAACAAAACTGGACCAACAAAAATACAAACATTGCCTCACTGCTGCTCTCTGATCATCACTGTGATCCAGTTCAACAGCATCACTGAAGCTGATGCCCAACACAGCCTCAGTACAAACCAACAACTGTCTCCCTCCTGTGAGGATACAACCCTGATACACCTGAACTTCTCCTTTGAGAGGACTTGTTATTCCACACTCT